TTTAATATTAGACAAAGATAACTTGAGTAAATACAAAATGCAGTTGTACCATAGTTTGAGAACCAGTGTTTTAGGCAGTACCAGGGTTCCCACTCTTTTTAAAAAAAACGTTTTCCAGGAGTTTTTTTCTTGACTATATAGGACAGCACTTGCTCAATAATAGTGGACAGCCATAGGTGGTTATCGACACTCCAGTCAGGATTGTAAAGCTTCACTGGGGGTTGCAAAGCCTTGTTTTTAAGGATTGTTCAGACTGAGGTCATCAGGACAGTGTGAACAGTCGTATGACTTTTATGTGACTCTAGATCAGTATTCGTCATGGTGGACTGTGACCTGTTCATACTAGAATCTGATAGGGGCTACATTAAACAGTAATGTGAACAGGCCAAACAATAATCTGGCCTTTTGTGCCAGCAGTGTGAACGCGGCCTTACATCAACTACTTAACTACTACAACTTGCAAAGCTGTCATTTGAGTTGAGAAGCTGAGAAGAGGCCTAAATGAGGATTTTATCTTATCTTATCTATTTCTTAACATTTTGCTTACACTTGACCAAAGAACTGCCCAAGGCCAACACCGTTCCAATTACCATCAAACACACTGCAGCTCATCAATGACCCTCCACTTGTGGGATGGCTGAGCCAGCACCAACAAAGAAAATCGGCATAACACGGTTAATTTTTTATCAGTCCTGGGAACACAGAGAGCCTCCAACAGTCACAGATCTCTGCACTGTCAGAGGTACACGAAGCAGATACAGACTGAAAAGAGAACACAGGCTCAGTGATCAAAAAGCAGTCAGCCAACCAGAGCCACATGGCTATGTGATCACTCAGCCACATCCATCCTGATCCATAAACAGTGATGCAACCATCCAGTATGAAAACGGCTAGGCCTATTCGTAATTCAGGGAAATAATTTGATTATTCTAGTGGAGAAGTTGTTTTTCAGCAACAACAACTTAGTTTAGCCTTAGCCACCTCAGTTTTTGTTAGCCTTAGTTTCCCGATAGAAACCAGAAACAATCCATTAAACACTATCATCATGCTAAATCTACTTTTTTTAATCAGGAGTCTATAGTGTTCATTCTAGCAGTAAGTTTTAAAAAAAGTCCTAACTAACTAACCAACCTATGAACCTATATAAAATCACGTTCAGACCTTTTAGCTGAAAGCTCAAACTTCAGCTACAATCATTTCAGTCAATACAAAAAGAATGCTTTATTGTGGGAGCCATTATACAGCTGGAGCTGCAACCCTGTTGCCAGTCAACAGCCCTAATATTGGTTGATTTTGCAAAACCCTACAAATTGAACTTAAAAATTTCAATTATCACTTTTAAAGCCTGGAATGGGTTGCCCCAAACTATATCTGGGACCTTTTAACTCCCCATGTGCCTTAAAGGGCCCAGAGGTCCTCAAATGTTGCCCTCCTGGTGGTTCCCAAAACTAGATAAAAAAAACAAAGGTGACAGAGCATTTGCCATCAGGGCCCCCAAGCTGTGGAACAGCCTCTAGAGGAGATCAGGATGGCTAATTCTATCACTGTTTTTTATAGTTTTACCATCCTGTGATCCTTTTTCTAACATTTTATTCACCATACTTTTATTGTTTTTTATTGTTTTATCTTTATTGTTTTACAGTGTTTATTGCTTATTCTATATATTTTTACTTATGGTCCCATGTTTCTTAGTATTTGAAATCCTGATGTTTGTTTGTTGTTTTACCCTGTAAATCAAAAGTTTATTATTATTATTAGGGACCAAGCCAGCGACCTGCTGGAGGTCCCCATTGTTTCTGCTATGATTATTATATTTCAGAACTTTGACTGCGTTTTTGACCCCCTGAACATATATGATATTTCAATTTTATTTGGAAAAGTGGTCAGGCCTGGTGTAACTTAGATATAAACTATGTTTTTGTGTTCCTCCTATGCGCTTTGTCCAATTTGCACGAAACTTTACACGTAACATTTGGAGACCGTCCTGGCAAAAAAGTAATTTAAAGACTTTTGATATTTAAAAAAATAAGCATGTTATAAAATTAGGACTTCCTGTGGATATGCATCAAAAAAGGAAGTGGAGCATTTCTCAACATTGGTATGTCCGATTGA